TCAAGATGCAGCCCAACACCCTTATTTAGTTCTAATGGTATTTTTCAGGATGAGACCATCAGAAATGGCAGATTCATTTAACTTACAGACAAAAAACCACCTATGAGGGCAGTAGCAGGCTTGTCTGCTCTCTAGCAAGGCTACCTACACAATCATCAATAAAGGTAAAACTGACAAATTAATTCTTCAAAATTCATTAAAGAAAAAGAAATTAGAAGCAAAATATTCTGAAAGATAGAGACAGAAAGAGTGCTCTCTGCCTTAACGTCCGATACCCGTGAGAACAGCTGTATCAGAAAAGTTTTGCTCTTTAATATATTAAATCCATGCGTATATATTTTCCAGCTTTTCTATATATCTGAAAGTTTTGCTGTGTCCAAAACCAGTACGTGTTTCAAAAGTGAAATTCACAGTCGCTTCTCTGAAAGGACAGTGTGTGTGACTGATGCGAGCAGAGGTCAGTACTTGGAGCCGAGTTACCTGCTCAATTTTCCTGCCTGCCATGGAGCCGCTTCGGTCTATAACGAAGATGACATTTTTGGGAAACACTGGCATTTCATGGGGTGCAAAGTAATGCACAAAATACCCGTTGACAATCTGAAACACAGAATGTGAAATCATGTATAAAATTGCATCTAAATAAACACATATTGCATCTTCAAGTTCTGGCACGGCAAGAAGCAGGGTGCATGCTCAGCGTTCTGTCCTTCTAGATAAGCCCAAATCAAACAACTATTAAAATGTTTTCCTGGCTGGAAGCGAGACTGTTTGTAGAGAGAAAATCATAAGAGAGAAGGGTACATATAGATATAAATAATAAAAAGTGTATAGTATACGCCTCAGTGCCATATGTATGATACATCTGCTTTATCACTGCAGATTATGTTACCTCTTTATCACCACCTATGAGCACAGCTCTGCTCATTGACTGTGGCTGCCATCTTTTAGCACATCCATGGAAACATCACTACTGAAACGGTATGGAAAATAACGTACTTTATTCCCTAGGATCTGCATTGGTCCATAAATATTTAAGTTCCTTCTCTCTTTAGTTACTCCTCAGTTGTCACAAAAACCAAAAGAAAACCAAGCCATCATTTTAAGTTATATAAATCACATTCCTCTAAACTTCATTCACAAGAAGCCACAAATACACCTTAGATCAGCCAAAATGATAAAGAAAAGAATGTAAGGAGACATCTATAAAGTGTCAAATAGAGTTGCTATTGAAACAAAATTTGAAAGATTATTTGTTTTCAGGGATGATCCATTCTTGCCAATGTATCTGGTGTCTCCGGGGATTTACTGAGCATCGCCATCATGACCGTGGATTAATGGAAACGGCTTTTCCTGTCGCTCTTGGAGTTTCAAAGTAAATGTTGCTGTTTTGTTGATTGCACTTCACATTCAGACCTATCTATGATCTGAAAGGATTTTTATCTCTATTTATTTTTCACCTGTATATCACCTGCAGTGGCAGCTCTCTTAACATCATAACGCACAACAAAATCACCATTGAGGAGGGTTTCGTTGAGTTCAGGATTTATCTTCTGTTGATCTACACTTGGCTTAAATAAAATATGAGCCTGCAAAGCAATCAGAAGAAAAGATTTAAAGCAATGTATCCTAAAGCTGCCACTGGCAGCAACATCTAGCAGCTGTTACTTTACCTTGGTTTCATTCTGCACTTGCGTGAGCGCCTGAGTTAACTCATTTGTCATGAACGTGCTGTCTGTCTCCAAGAAGCTTATGCCTTGGGGCTCGAAGATGTGCACATCAATCTGATGGTGGAGAAGAAGTTGGTGTCAGCATCTCGGAGGGCACACGGCTGTGCCTGAAAAACTCCACAGTGCTCCCTGCCCAGCCCCAGCCAAGACAGCTCACCTGGAAGTGCTTCACGAGCTGCTTCGGTCGGACCTTGATCAACAGCTCGAACTTCCCCAGCTGCCGCTTCAGCAGCTCCTAAAGTGACTTTGCTGGCAGCCGCAATGCTGATGGACACGTGAAACTGCTCCAGTTTTCTGCCTGTGATTCTGCAGGGAGAGAACAGAGATTTACCTCCTGGGGGGAAGGTTTGCTTGTCATGACCAAAGTTTATGAAGTATGCTAAATAATGGCCAAGGGGCTGCATGGAATAAATAAAAAAGAATAGCAGTAAATCTTATTCATCATAGGGAAGACTTTTTACACTGTATGCAGTATTATATACATATATATCACGTTATCATGCCACAGGTGCTGCATATGCAAGCTGAGAAATGGAACAGAAACCTCTGCATGCCTCAGACTGGGATCAAGCAGAACTGGGACTGAATACATGGGAAGCACAGATTACATATACCCCAAAAGCGTGATGTCTGCTCAAGTGTCGTGGTCCCCTGTGCTTGCGGGGAAGCGCACTCAACGACTGAGCGTCATCCCAGCCCGGCAAGGTGCTCCTGCAGGACAGCAAGTCCCAGGGCAACACCAAATGGTGACATCTCCCACTGCAGCCCATTGCAGGGCCAGATACAAATCATATACATATGCAAATATATATATGTATACATACACACCATCCCTCCCAACAAGAACCCAAGGCTGCTTTTCGCATTTATCCCTGCTGAGAGGTGGGTGGCTCCAGGGTTTAACCCATCCCAGCCAAACAAGAAGCCAAGGAAGAGCCTTGGAGCAGCCTTACTCAGGATGGCAACGTACTTGACAAGGCCGGCACTTTGCTTGCGTGAGACCGCAGTGTCGTACTCCTTTTGAGCAGAAGCCTTCTCCTTTATTATTCCTGGGTATACTTTACCGTCGATGGCCCTGTTTGGTTTCCATAAAAATTAACTCATATTATTAGCAAGAAAGCACTGGGGAAAGGAACAAGAGGAAAGCTGCACTTTGTGGCCCTCGAGGCATGAGCAGGGAACACTGTTTGGCTCCCACATCCCTCCCCCTCCAGGAGGATGCCAGAGGCCACAACTACAACACAGCCCTCCTCCTCACTGGGTCTCAGGGAGCAGGAGAAACACCACCACCGAGCATGGTTGTTACCCACCCTGTGCAGCAGGCAGCCTCACCCTGGCCACCTTTCTATTTGGCTGCCTACTACTTTGCCCCACACAGTGTCTTGTGCAGGACCCTCCAGACTTCAGGTCTTTGTGCTTTTTGCTCAGCACCTCCCGAGAAGAAAGATGAACCCCCCCACCCCCAGCCCTCAGGGCTGCCTCCTTCACACCGCAGGTAAGGACTGGTCCTACATGGAGAAGTTGGTGATGAAGGCCGTCTTGGGTAACTCCACTTCAAAGGTCGCCTCTCTGGACTCGTTAGCTCGGTTGACAATTTTGCTGGTGATGACAGTGTGAGCAAATCGCGACGTGACTTTGCAGTCTGCATGGAGGCTGTAGATTTCAATAGCATGCTGGGGAAAAAATAAACAGGCTGAAACCAAAACACTGAAACACTCAGGTTTCGCTCCTCAGCAGTCCTTACCTGCGTGATGTTATTGGAAAAGTCTGATGAAGGAACAAACTGTCAGAAGGTCCAGCCAGGACTGGGGAGGGGGGAACTGTTTGTAACCAGACTGGCCATCTGCTTATTCACATCTCTGCAGCTGTGACCACAGCCCCACGCAAAATCTGCATCTACATCTGTGTGTTGTCGTGCCACAGAAGGCTTCTGCTGAGCCTTTTTCTGTGCTCTTCTCTCCTCGGGGTACTCCAAAGCAGCTGCTGTGTCACCCCAATACGTTGCTAAGATTAACCTCAGGAAAATCAGATGCCTCTTTAAGTGCTCAACCCACAGAAAGAGACCTGCCAGCTTTTTGCATGACTATTTATTTGCTGTCCCAGTTGTTGACTTTGCTGCATGTTTTTTAAGCTGGGTGCCTTGTGTCACCTACGACGTGCAGCACGTTTGAAACCCTGCATGGGCCTCCTGGTTGCACAAGCAGAGATGCCCTTTGAGTTCTGTGTTTCTCCTGGTCTGGTGATTCCAGGTGCTTCCAGGGCCCCCAACACTGGCGGGAAGAGGGCACTGGCATGGAGCTGCCTGGAAACATCCCATAAAGCAGGTGGCCTGGGAATTGCTTGGAGCACCTGCCTCTGTAAACAGCCTCCTTTTGTGTTTGGGATGTCTATTTTAAAGGCCTTACCTCTGTTTCAGCAATGACACTTGGAAAGGTTGATCTGGACATCACCAGCTTCATTATAGTCCAACAGTTTATTAAAATTAAAAAGCTCAGCATCAAAGCAGATAATCGCACTCCGGTTTTTACTTTTCCAGCCCCATAAATCTTTTGAATGGCTAATTGATGTTTAGTTATTTTGATAATTCATTTCCTGTACCTTGCTCACCAATTAATAGCATCCACTGGCCCCTTCTTAGTTAGAGCATTGGCTGAAATTCAAAAGTTTAATCAAACTAAGCCTGGCCATTCAGCACAAAGCTGTGACTGCAGCTTTGTGCTCAGGCACCAAGGCAAGAGGTGCCGCAGCCAACACCATGACTAGTGGATGGCTGCTTCTTTTCTCGTTATACGTTGCCAGAGCGTGCTCCATCTCCTGATGCCTACTAGCAGTCCAGGACAATGAGATAAAAACCCCAAAATATTCATCAAGAGAACAATCTCCTGATCCTGGCAGTTTGGGTGCCTCTCCCTGCCTGTGCCTCCCTGCTGCCCACCCCTAGAGCTGGAGCCCTCCCTACCTAGGCTGGAACAGTCCCTCCTGGGGGCATCTCTTCCCAAAAGCTTTACGAGTATCCCCAAGTACCTCTGCTCGCGTTGGCTGCCCTGCCATGCTCAAACCTGCCCGTGGCACATTTCGAGGGGAGGTTTTGCCACGACTGAGGAGCACCAAGTCCCAAGCCGTGACCTGTTGGGGCAGCATAGGCATGTGGTGGCCATCACTGCCCACGGAGCATCCTTCCAGCACAGAACGAGCTTGTCCAATGCAAAATCCATCCCCTGCAAAATCTACCCCACCGCCACGTGCCGAAGGTGTGTTGTGGGGACGAGGGGACAGGGACCTGCACCTGCTGTGCTCGGCCAGCCCCAGCAGCATTTCCAGGCTGTGACCGGCACAGACAAGCATACAGCAGGGTGCAGCACGGTGAGAGGCATCGCTGTGCCCTTAGTGAAGGAGGTAGATTCATAGATTCATAGATTCATAGATTTCTAGGTTGGAAAAGACCTTAGAGAGGACCAGCCCCGAGTCTGTGCCTGAAAGCAGTGAGGAGGGACTCATGGCCGCTCCCCATACACCACATACGTCGCTTCTTGCAGAGCCCTCGGCCACCCCTGCAAGAGCCACAAGACTTTCCTCTGACTCCCAGAAACCCAGCTGCATTTCAGCTGCATTTCATGCTTTTCTCAGTAGGCAGGATGGAAAGAAAAACCTTCCAACGTTTGGCTTCCTCCATTTCTCTAATATTGATGTTTTTAAAACAAGACCAGTCACATGCACCCTGAGAGAACACAAAACATAGTTTGCTCCTCCAGACAGTACAAATAACTCTCTACTCCCCTCTTTTCTATTCCATATAAATTATTAAATGCCTGTCAGAAACCTCCCAGCACCGCAGCGGTCCTCGTTTGATCCTGCTGTAATGCCACCGTGTCAAGATCCAAACCTCATCCAGCGGCCAAAGGAGATTCACTGATCCCTCAAATTTGGTATTTTACATCCCTGGGGAAGAGGGTGATCAGCCACATCTGCAAATGCTCTCCTGCCATATTCATACTGTAACAGCCCAAACAACCAACCAAAAAGGCCTTAAAAGCCTGACATAAAGACAAAATACACCCAAGGCTCCACAGGTGGTGGTTACCTGAAGAGTTACCGGCATTACCTGGCCAGCTACCCCAATACTGGATCACAAAATGAGCAAATAAAATCCTGTTAAAAAAAATACTAAAGCAAATACCTTCTGAGCAATAGATCCTGTTAATACCATGAGCAAGGAAAAGACCATCAATGTGAGCAACATTTTCTTCTCCATTTTGGAAAGACCAGATTTTCAAATGAAAACTTGGTTTATCTTAATCAGTTAATGAGTAACTTGTACTTGGGGATATTATGTAGACTTTGAAGAGACCTAGAAACTTAATATTTACATGTTAAACATAAGTAAAACTTGGACTTGGTGAACGTTTATTTTTCCAACAGATCTTTGCTGTTAAACATTAGATTTTTAATGTTTCATGACGCATAGTGTTAAGAAATCCTTATGGCTTCTGTTTAAATTTGGATGCCACTGCGGCATGTGAAATCCCACAGGCAGATGAACTGGTCTGTGCAACAAGCTGCGTTTTTGGATGCATGAATCTCTACCGTATCCAACAGTAATAATTAGAAAGGACAGATCCTTAACATTATCTCAAGCACTTCAGAGATTTGGAGATTGCAAAGACATGCAACGTTCACGTGAGATTTCGAAGTTGGTGACTTCTTCATACTTTGTGCCTCCCTGCCCAACTGACCCATGAGAGGAACAGAGTAGCCCTTTTGAAACATCTCTTTTCGCTTCCTCTGACATGCCGTAATTCTTGTTTGTCAAGCAGCAGTTAGTTGTGGCTTGTCTTTAGCTAAACAGTAAAACCAAAGTAATCAGACCTTGCCTGGACTTCCTACAAAGAGAGGCACTAAGTCAGTGCCTGTTCATGCATATATCGTCGAATCATGGAATGCTTTGGGTTGGAAGGGACCTCAAAGATCACCTAATTCCAATCCCCCTGCCATGGGCAGGGACACCTTGCCCTAGAACAGGTTGCTCAAAGCCTCATCCAACCTGGCCTTGAACACTTCCAGGGATGGGGCATCCACAACTTCTCTGGGCAACCTGCTCCACTGCCTCACCACCCTCTGAGTGAAGAATTTCTTCCTTATATCTAATCTAAATCTCCCCTCTTTCAGTTTGGTATGGAAGTGTACAAAGACGCCACAAACCACCCCAAAACTAGTGCCACAACAGCCATATATGGGAGCACATCTGGCCTTGTCTCTCCCTAACACAGTTGTGATGTATCTGCAAAGCTGCCCTTAACCTGTGCTCTCAGCGGGGCTGTTTGCACAAAAGGGTGGTGCTGGGAGAGCTCTACACCTGAGTTTACCTGGAAACAGAGTGGGATAACTCTTTTTACCTCCTGTTTCACAGTAAGATCTTCATCCAAGCAGGACTTCGAGCAGTTCCTGTGAAATTTTTGTTGGTCAAGGGTTGGCATGTAGCCCTGCAAAAAGAAATCATCTTGAAAGTCTGATTTTATATACAAATAACTATGGACAATGTTATACTAACATAATTCCTAAAATACATGCTCACTCATGTGGTGTTTAGGTAGCCTCCTAACGCAAGACAGCTCTCATGACTATTTAAAAGATATTTCTCCATCTGAGTAGCTGTAATGTCTGCCTCTTCTACAAAGCATTTTAAACACATTGTGGGGAAATAATTGTTGGGGTTTTTTTCAGCAGTAAACAGAGCCTGGGCAGAAACCATTTCAAAAGTTCAACTCCTCAGCTCTACAAGTAGGGAAATCAAGGTGAGAAATGGGGGTCAGGCAGCAAACTGTCACAAGCCATTCCTACGCCACGTGTCTGGGGCTCGTTTGTTTTATTGGAAAGTTTTCAGTGGGCTTCATTTGTTCCTTCATTCTCAGGGCAAGAAAAGAGAATGTTTGAAATCTTAAAAAACATCAACAGGACAGGAAAAATAACCTCTCCCGGGGCTGTAGTTCAGAAGATCATCTCAACATATGCAACTGCTGCATCAGCCCCTGGTTCCTGTAGGTGTTTGAATTAACACATGTATTCAGGGACGTTAACGTGCAACCAGACGTTAATGTGCTGAGACATCAAGGACCTTTCCGCTTCCTGTGTTTTGCCAGCGTGCAGGAGCACAACAGGCTGGGGAGCGGGGGGAGCATGGCCGGGACGAAGGGTCCACAACTCCCCTTATGATTTGAATTTAGGATCAAGGGCTAAATTGGCCAGTGGAATATTCCATACCATGCAACGTCATGCCTGGTGTATAGATGAGGGTTCTCAAAACCTTTTGTAAATGGTCTGAAATTTCTGGCGGAAATCAGGAAATTCCTATATTGCTTTTTGACAGCATTTTTCCCCCTTATAACTCCAAGGTAGGTAATGCCATTAATTGTCCTAGATTAACACAAAGATCCTGTGAAAAGACATGCATCTGCATTTGCTTCACTGCTATTTTACAAAGTGTTCCGGTGGAGAGCATGCTTCCAGTGGCCTTGGATTTGTGACAAGACACTAATGTAGGGATCAATAATTTATTACTTCAACAGACATTTACAAGTTTACCATAAAGAGTCTGTTGAACACAGCCTGGTCTTACAAGGCTTGTGCTTTAAGTAACATTTTTTTAAAAATAAACTTCACTTTTTCCAGGCAGACTGTTTATACTACTTGTAAATACTGTATCATTTATGGCAGGACATGTAAATATGTATAGTTTAACAGAGAAAAATTAAAAGTGCTACACATTTGGGTAACTTCTACAACTCGTGTAATGCTTTAATCCCTTAAAACACACAAGATTATACACTTAGTGGTCTAAGATCCCCAAGAGCCAAAGCTTTAGCTTTAATTAAGTGGATCTGTCATCGGTTCTCCCATATCCACATGTAAAATCACGTGGATGTTAAAGAGCTGCTTTAACTGCACAGATGTAGGCTGTGTGGTTGGCTCTGGCCCATTCCTGGGTGCATGGAACAAGCCAGCACCCGGAGAAGCTGTGAAATCCCTCCTGCATCCCTTTGTGGCTTGCTGTAGCAGCTGCAGGAAAATAAGCCTGTCCCCAGAATTGAGCACATCACCGTTTCAGTACAAACCGCCAGCGACAGCCATCCCCACTGATGTCCACTGCCCGTTGCTGCTGGTGCACTGGGCATCAGTCCTGCTTCTTACTCTGAGGAATGAACATGCTGTGAAAAGACTTAGATCACCTTGGAGGAAGGATCTAAATCCACCTTCACAACAGGAGATGCTTTTGAGTGCAAAATAACCTAAAAACTTAAAACCTGGGGCTTTGTTCAGACACTTCTCTGTCACAATTTCTCATCATGAAAATGAGGAAAAATAGGAAGAAAACATTTTCCATGATTGGGCTTTTTAGATTCTCAAGGTTGAAGAAAAAAAACTACAAAAAATTCTCCATGTGGCTTTATATTTGTTTCTCTCACCTACAAGTATCTCCTGTCCTGCAGCAGCAGCAGCCAGTAACTTTTCCAGCACAGCAGCAAATCTGGGAACAGAGGAGGATTCCTGCAATTCATACAGAAGAGCACAGACCTTGCTGTCCCAACTGGGGAGCGACTTCATCCTGGGGATACACTTTCACCTCCAATGCATACTTTTTAGATGAGGTCCATCTTAAAAGATAGAAAAAGAAAAAAAGATCCCTGGACCTGAGCACTTACTGTTGCACTGCAAAGCGTCACAAATAATTGAACCTGAGGACATCCTGGAAATAAAAACATCAGCAAAATGCCAAGTTTCTGGCAGATAACTTACTTTGCTTCCCTGCTGCATCCACGCTGCCAGTCTGTGGGACACAGAGGTTTCCGTGCTTCGCTAAATTGGCACCAACACACCTGAAGCCGGGTCTGAAATCCAGCACCCCCTCCCTGCCACCCAGCCCAGCCAATTCACAACCTTCAGTCACTTGTGTCATACAAAAGAAAGCGATAACATTATGCCCCACTTGTCCCTCTCCACCATTTTTCTAATTATTAAACAACCTCCTGCCAACTTCTGATCACAGATTAATTAACGAGAGTTTGTTAAACTCGATGCAGAGACAGCTCTAGTGTCATCAGGGTGGGAACTTTCTTCACCGTGGTGTTTTGTTTTGTTTTTATCTTCAAAGTTTTGGAAGGGGTCTTTCTCAGAGGAAGAGCCTGTGCTGAGTTACCAGTGAGGAGCCCGGGCTCCATGGAGAAATCGAGTCCAGCAGAGAGACGAGGCAGAGTCTTGGCTGCAAATAATCATTAAAAGTGGAAAAAAAAGTGGGGCAGGGCAACACACCAGCAGTATCTTTAATATTTTAAGGAAACCTCCCCCTTAAACCCAAAGGATTTGTTGCTGCCTTGTGCACATCCCACTCAGCAGCCTCTCTGGGAGCTTCATGGACGTCTGCATGCTTTATCCGCCAAGCATTTGGGACACAAAAGGCAAAGATAATATTCTTCATGGTTCAGAGATCTCTGATAACACTTTGACCTTTTAATCGGGGCCAGGCTGTGCAAAATTATAGTTCCTTAAATTCTTACTGTTCCCCAATGTGCTGCCAGGGACTTGGGGCATGGGAAAAGAGCAGCAGCTTTTCTGCCAGCAAAGCAGAGGATCATCCGCGTTCGAACATGAAGATCCAGCTGAGGGGAAACACTCCAGAGAAACACTCCCCAGAGCTGAGGGGCCTGGCCAGGGCGCCACTGCGGTCAGCACAGATTTGGGTGAAGTCTGCAGGCTCCAGTGACGTCCCCTTGACCGGCTCCTCCTCACCCACCTCTCGGGGAGGGCACAAGGGGATTGTGCCGACGCTCAAGCGGTGCCACCTGGGTGTTTGTCCTCTGCATCTGACAGACTAGATCACAGCTCGTAACGCCAAAGTAGCCACAGAATTAGGCTGCGCCTAAGTAGAAATTAGTCACCACAGCGTGCCAAGATGTGTCCAACAATCTTTTTTTATTAAACCATTATAACAATCGCCGTTCAACACACAGAAAGAAAGCACGTAATAAAAATTAACATGTAAGTGGTACCCTTCGACATCAGTTTATTCCCTACTTAAGGACTTACAGCAGAAACTAGCTACTTAGGTCGACAGTGACTTTAGTGTAAGCGGCAGAAATTTGGGAAAAGTTTGCAACAATCATCTAGGTGAGACACATCCAGCTCCGCCATCAGCCGAAGACGCTCTTGGCCGGCTCTTTCGGTTTCTCAAAGACCGTTTCACCCCCTGTCCGATCCCGGCTGAATATGGAGGGTGCTGCAGAGCCCATTTGTTCTTGGAAAAGAAAACCAGGAGAGGCAATCAGTGAAGCAGCACATCAAATTCAGAGAGTAAAACTAGTGCTGCTAAAACATATTTGATAAATATTTAAGCTGCCCATCAAATCTGCCCATGTTACTTCCCAAACCTTAAAACGCAGCACTTCCCCCCCCAGGGTGAGGCAGCTGACAGCCCCTGTAGATGGTCGCTGCATTGACTGGCCCCAAATCCCCACAGGTGCTTCAGAAACTTGGAAACTACTGAGGTCCAAGCTATCATGCTGAGAAAGGCTTAAAATTAATAATTTTTTATTGGACTCTTCCACTGATGGAGGAAAAGCAACACAAAACCAGAGCACCAGGGGTGTTCAGTGCAACCACCTGCTCTGTCCTCTCCACCTTCTGCCCTTTATCCCCCCTTAATATCTGTTTCATCTCAAACACATCAAATTGATCCAACTGAGAGGCCAAAAATCCCCTAATCTACAACCAAGCCTCTGATCTTCAATTTGGGCAGCCCTTGACACTATGGTCCCAGGGCTCGGTTTGAACCCTGGTTCAGAAGGCAAAGTTAAGGGCTCTCCCTCTTGCCTTGTCCAGACAGGGAGAACCATCACCCTGAGCAGAGCCCTGTTGGCACCTCGTGCTACCATCGAGATGATGGATGCAAAGTCCCTGCGCAGCCAGGCCAGGGTCAATGAGCACACTGCTGGCTGCTCTTCCAGAGGGGAACCCTTTCACTTGGAAAGAGCAATTAAGTCGATGTTTTACTTTGGAAGACCACTTAATGGTTTCCATCAAGGAGACTTACCGCACTGCTTCATCACTTGGTAGGTTTTGGATTTAATTTCCTGGTTTTTGGAAAGGTTTCCTCTAGCTCCTTTGAGGTCTTCTTCCTTCACTGGAGGACGCTTCTTTTTCACAGGGGCTGGCTAAGGAACAGACACATTGCCCACATATCAGTATTTTGTGTTTAGAAGCGTAGGAAACAAAGCTGCCTTAACCCAAAGGCTACAACACAAAGTTGTTAATACAATATTCCAACGATTTCCATTCTGAGACTGTACATTCAGTTACTCCAGATCTTTGCACAACTATGATTTCACTGCTCTTCCCAAAAATCTGTTGCCACTATTACTGTTCTGAAATTGTCTTCTGTCTGTACAGCCTTTGAAAGAGACAGTGGATTGCTTTTTTTTTTAATTTATTTTAAAATTTTCTTTTTCCAGCCCTGCCTGGTCATTCTGGAAGATCAGATTAGTAATTCAAGAATCTGTCCAATATTTGGAAAGGAAAAAAAACTTCATTACAAAATTTGCTTGTGCCTCAGTCTACTCACTAGTTCTTAGGGAAATTGGTCAGAGATTCTGAAGCCTGGCTTGACTTAGTTGGAATAAACTCAACACTTGACTCATAGTTACTGCTCTTAAATTTAGGGAACAAAAGTATCTGAGCACTCAGCAGGGTTGTCTACGAGCATGTACTGAACACATCTGAAACACTGGACTCGGAACCCAAAGAAGGAGAAGGAAATGCAATATGGAAACAGATGCCTCATCAGCTGGTGCACTGGAACGTCCAAGTATTAATCTGTTTACGGTTTATCTTGCTAGAAGAAAATCAAGATAAGATGGAATCCTATCAGTTTATCCCTACCTTTAAATGAGCACTTCAAAGTCAGACACAATGTCAACCAGCAGCAGTCGGCACCGTTGACATTCCCTCTTCAGTTTATTATTTCAAGGACAGATTGCCAAGGTCCCACCAGGCAGACCTTGCAGCAGGGGCACAGAAGATGTGATTAAAAAGAATTAAAGTCCCCCACACTCCAACTTTAACAGATTTGCACACTGAACCACCAGCGAGAAGCTTCTCTTACCATTGCTACATCGTAAGGCTCCTGATATTTGGGTTCTGGCAGCAGAGGAGCCCACTCGTACATTTCCAGGCAACCGCCTGTAAAGCTAAAAACAGTTGTGGAGGGAAACAAATCCCCCAAGGCCCGTGAAAGTCCAGAGCAGTGAGTCCCAGTGAGCTTGCAGAGACAGGGTGTGCATGCCTGGCTCTGGGCAGGGGTGGGCTGGCTGCACGGGAGCCTTCGGCATGTTTCCTGTGGCTGTAAATTCCCGGGAACGCTCAGAATAGCTCACTGTCAATCCCATTCGCATGTGTTGTAGGAAACAAAACATTCATGAGACCTCTGGGGAAAACACTCTACCAGTAGCCAAAGCAAGCAAGGGGAAAGGCTGGGAGCAAACCCCTCAAAATTCACAAGAGCTTTTGGCTGGTTAGCTGGATAACCAAACATCCCTACAGCCAGGGAAACTGGCATGTGATGGGAACGGTCCCCCATGCCCACAGCACGGTCCACAGGCAGCAAGTATAGACCTGTGTTGGCTTCAGCACAGAAAGGGAAAAAAACCTTGTTTTGTTAGCAGGAATAGGAAACCTGCTAAGATCCTTCACCCATTATCGCCCAGAGACAAACTGCCAGGCTGCTTTCCACCCACACAAGAGACTTCCTGGGGATGGGGTAAGGAAGGAGGCAGTTGGGATACACCAAAACACAGCCAGGTGGAGCAGAACTGTTAAATTTGACTGAGTTATTTTAAAATAAAACCTCTCATGCTTTGATTACAGGTGGATTTTCCAGCAGGACAGCTGCTGTGGATTAGCTGGCCCCCAGCTAAAAAGACAAAAACGCTGCGCGGAAAGGTCACTGTGAGCCACAGAGGTGAGCCCCGGGCCGGCCAGTGTCACAGCCACACGCTGTTAATCGCTCCCAAGGCCAGCGCATTTTTGCCAGGAGCCGTTCCCAGCTGGCGCAGCAGCACAGCCTGTGCTTTATCTCCTCCTGTCACAAGTCAAAAAGTGTTGGTTTACAAGAAATATGACTGTTTTTTCAAGCCTTTTTCTTTGGAGTAAAGAAAATAAGCAGAACTAAGTTGCTCTGTGTGGTCGAAGGATTGAGCTCTTCTCCCCTCCCTGTGTTCTTACTCTCCATCCCACCCACCACGCAAAACCCTCATGATGGGGAGAGCTCTGCCAGGCACACGTAGCTTGCGTTGCGAACATAATGCTTATATGAAAAACTCCACGTTTCTGAGCTAATTTTAAGATCACTTTGAAACACTGATTATTGGGGAACACAGTAAAGACAAACCATTAGTTACACAAGAACATAAAAGCACGCAAGAGGAAATTTCAGTCTTAAACATTGTATCCTAACAGCTACAATTTTCAGTCATGCTCTCTCTTTTTCTGCGCGTTAACAGCTTAAACTTTACACAGCAGCACGCTTCAGTATAGCCACGTCCTTCCAAAACTATTGCTGAAATTTCAAATCATTGTCTGAGGAAGCATGTTAGCAAAGCAGAAATCACCCCTTCTGCGAAGCATCCCAAATCGGAGCCGTGGAAATGGTTTTTCCCTTCCTACAGAAATAAAAACATTTATGGTAAAACAGAACATTTATAAAGCTAAATTAATTAACCATGGCAAGGGCAGCTGCCTTCCTCCTTCATCAAATAAACCCACCTAACGACTTGTTAAAATATTCAAGCAGAGCGTTTGAATACTTCTACATAACTGAAAAGCCACATCGAGCAAAAAAGCTGAATTCAGGGGTTAATGAGTCGTTCCAAACAAAGCGTCTGAGCCAGCTAACACTTTTGTCAGGCACCCTGCGCCAACGAGAGCCAGCCTCATCACATCTCCCCGTACCTGTGACATAACGGCGGGGCTCACTCGGCCGTAATCCCTCCCGAGGTCGCTTCCCGGCTTTGATTAAATCCAGCCTGTGAGCTCTGCGAACGCCTGTTTTTTTCCTCGACTTATATAGAGCATCTAACATGAAGTCATTAGCTGGGTCATCTTCCCAAACCAGAACGCAGGGTGATTTAGGTTGACAGAGGTTGTTGCTGTTGAAAGGTTTATTCTTGGCGATGACGAGGGTGTGCAGTATTTACCGCGCCCCGTGCCCGGGCACAGATGGAGCCGGGCACTGACGAGAGCAGACAGCTGTGGCAGCAGGACCGCAGGGAAGCCCGATCCACTACAAAATGACTTCCCGGGGAGTCCGCTGGGACTCTATTTATAACTTTAGAAGGCAAAACTTTGTTATGGGTACAAAATTGACTCTGAATCCTCTTGAGGAGGAGAAAAGAAATCAAGTGTCTGTGTTTCTTTCCCAGAGTAAGACAATACACATTCTCTAAAGATTATATAACCTAACATCCGAAGCGTAACATCGTGCCCTAAATCGCTTTTGCACAGGGATCTTTAACAGAAGAGTATTTTGTGCATTTTGGAGAGTTAATAATAGGATACGGTTTTACCCTTTCGGTTCTATTGCTGAGGTGGCTCTGATGCGGGCTCTTACACAACCAAGGGAGGAAAATCATTTTCTACTTACAGCAGTATTAGTAAGTTTAATCATTTCACCTGTCATCTGTATAGGAATAGCTTACACAGACACGAATAAATTCAGTGTTCCCCACTGTACATGCTGACAGTAGTAAAACCTTTTCCAGAAATTTCAACACTTGTTCTCTAAACAATTTTTTAATTAAAACAGAAAAAGTAAAATCTTAAGCATGAACTCTATTTTTTTATTACTGGGAGAGGATTGGGTGGGAGGTCGTTTCCCTTTTATTTTTATATTTTTTAATATTAATTCTTTGCATCATGCAAAAAAATCAGCTTCTATGACTGCACTCAACACCTACAAAGAGCAAAGACTTCAGCCAGTTATGCTAGTATGAGACTGGCAGATGCAGCAGACCTTCAAACATCTCTTACTAGCAAGATCGACCGTTGTAGTGCTAGAAATCTGCCCTGGCCTTTTCTCGAGCTCAATCTGTGTTTTGTTTGGGCTACAGAGAGAAGCACGGCAGGTAAAACAAAATTGGCATTTTTCATTATGAAAACCTTTCATCAACACCACAGCACTAGCGCCGTACGATCAGGACTATGGGATTTGTCTGTTGTGAACTATCCCCCAGGCCTCTGGGTGCCCATTTTGCCTTTAAGTTGAGCTCTTTCCAGGCCTGAGAAGATGCCTTCCTTTACATGGCTATTTGGGGAATTACTTGTAGGTTAAGCAGCAGTCTGGATGTTACGTACTTAGCCACCCTTATGTTGAATCACTATTTTAAATTTGCAGCTTAGTAAACTAGAGGAAACTTTTCTGCAGAACAGCAGTACCTTTTAGGAGGCTAACAAAGCAAGCGAAAAAAACCATCGACTTTAGGAAAAACAGCAGATTTTTTTCTATCATACAAAGTAACATCTCTCCTCTACAAAGATGTTTCTATATAGTCCCGTAAGTGTCACCATTCTGACACTATCTACCACAACAGGAAAATAACACTCTACATGTTTAAAGCAAATATTTAGAATTCGAGCTACTGAACTATTTTTTCCCCTTCAGCTTTCAAAATTGCGTCATTTAATTGGTACTACATGTTCTTTACTGGAAAGCAAGAGTTAGGCTTTCATGGACATGTAATTTATACAAACAAAATCAAAACCCCTTCAGCTTGCACGCTATTCGGGAGTAGGAGATGAGGCACTTCAGAGGCGGGCAGCATATCCTGAAGTCTCTATGACATCGCCCATAGCCTGGACAATTCTGTTCTTGATTATACATTCCCTAAATCAACACTGAACAGTAAGCACGACCATCTCCTCTTAATGGACCATAGGCTAATTTTACCTTACAAAAATAACAACCTAAGTCTCCAGTTACTTACGTTTCAGAGTAGAAATCTTGTTCACCTGGTTGAGGTCCTGAGATCTGTTAAAAAGGACATGAATGACAATGAAACAAAAGAGGCTCATTTATTTAAAAGTGGTTTTTAAAAATACAAGTTAATCCTCTTTCATCTTCCAGTGCAATAGGAAGTGTTGGAAACTCCTTTGCTGAGGAACAGTTGCAGCTAAAACATGGCAATGACCACGGAGAATTCAGTGAATATACACACGTCTGGCCTCTGTCATCTTCAGGAGACACAAATCTTACAGAAGATTTGATTTCTCCTCCAGGAAACTGCTAACATTCCCCACTGGACTGACAGGCTCGATAGGTTAAAGATCATTCTCCAAATTCCCTTTGAGGATGCAGTTGGTATGGAGACAGCACCGCTTGGATGTAGTAGGTGGGAAGTAATGAAAGCAACGGGCAAACACTGAAGAGTTACAAAGGCAGTAGCAGATCGATACTGTGGAGGTCCAGCCCAGCAGAATACACCGAACCACTCCGACCAGGATAGGAAGGGGTGACAGCATCAGCAGCTCAGTAGGAACAGGATTTCTGCTCTATTCTGGCATAAAGGTACCAACCTCTCACTATTTGCGGCCTAAAAAAAACCACAAACCCAAACCAAACAAACCAAAACAATGATTACCTGCAGATGGTCATGTTACAGCTTCAGAGTGAACCAGCTCTCGTCCTACATGGTGGTCATCATTCCTAAAGCACTCTGGAAAATCAATGGTAGGTACCATGCCATACCCTCCAGGGAACCTGGAAAGTACAATGGAATTTTTCTGCCCAACAAAACAGAAAGAAACCATAGACTACACTCATTTTGTTGGGTATAATGAGGGAAGTCCAAGTGCTTGCTCCAGACACTTCAGTAATCAAGGAAGCTGCTTCCCTGGAGCTTAAGAGACAACTCTGCACTAGATAGCATGTAGGAGCGATGTCTTTGTCAGACAGAAAAGAATAAGCACTGCTTCCCCCTTCACCTTTTGCACGGTTTTAGGAAGTAGCAGAAACTCAAGTTAGCAAGGAAGACATTGGTCATCTCCAGCACGTCACCCTCCGAGACAAGGGACAGAGAGGCAACTTGGTCCTAGAACTAGACATCCCCACATGTCCCTTGTCTGTCTCCGAAGAGGTACTACATGAGTTCTGTGACACAAGGCACTGCACAAGCAAACTTCTCAACAGGATCCTCAGACATGTTCCCTCAGCTTGCACTTCTACTACCCGCCGCAAACAAATGAGAACGGCAACCAAAGATAAAATAGGTTAACAAGTTATTGAATTAGGCCGTGCCTCTGCCAAGGGGCAGGACATTGGAGGTAAATTCAGAAATTTCTAAGTTTACATGTTCTTGTTGCCAACCGCCAAAAGGTCTGGCTTTGCTTGAAAAGCCAAAAGCAGGCTGTGATAATCAGTTGTGTGGTTAAAGCATTTTAGCAACATTCTACACTCCAGAAGACCTCAGGTCAATGTTCTGCAATCTCAGGAGTCCCTAGGTTGTACACTGAAGGTTTTATTTTCAGAATGAAAATACAGATGGTTATTCTCCATGCGTGCACACGCACAGGGCAAAAACTCTCCTCAGGGAACAGATCCAAGAGGAGCTTACAAGGATTCCTACAGTCATAACCGAAATTTGCTACTTAACAACAGCGGTCCCTCCAACTGAAACAGGACTTGCTACTAAGGTAAATGAACATATTGAAAATAGCAGCAACATGAGTGTGCAAAAAATCAGATCTGCAGTTCTGAAGTTAAACTCCAGTAGCAAAACCTGCTTCCCACAATGGCACATTATAAAGACAAACAGACGCGCTTTTAAACAGAGCAAGTATAAAACAAGTGTAAAAATCTGTAACAAGTCACTTTATTGTAAACCATTATACAATGTAATTACATCAGACACCCTTAAAAGTTTAAGGTAACGTCACTCATTAAACAACATGGTCCAAACAGAGGGCAGCAGAACACAGCTGTTGGTTTTGCTCACATAGGCTATACTCTGAATTCACTTACAAACAAACTCAACATTCAGTTTGAGACAGATATCCACGCAAGACAAACACCTACAAAAGAGTCCCTTTTTTAAAGATACTGCAGTTTTACTTTGTAAAACCATAGTAGTCATTTTCAGTAATTGAACTGGAAACTCTACCTAAAAAAGTTTGCACGCCTATGCTGTAGATCTGCTCTGACTTGATGTGGCTGAATTTACTCGCTTTCGTTACTGGTTTCTCCTGTAAAAAGCACAGCAAAGTTGCAAACATGGGTTAGTCAAGCACAGTGGCAGAAATTCCTTGTGATGCTCAGCTCTCAGCAGAGTGAGAGCCCACACCTCCTTCCCCAGGCACCGCTGGAATCCGAGCAGACACCTGCCGGGGGGGATCACTTTGCATTGCTCTAATTTGCAACTCAATTTCTGAGTTTTCCCTGAAGAAAAGCTATAGTACATTTTAGTGAGCAACATTAACACACAGCATTTACCTACTGAAAGTAAGACAAGGGGACCTGAACATATTAAAGCCAGAACTTGAAAACCACTTATTAGACAACACCAGTTTTTTAAGTTTATGCAGATGTGTCACAGGTCAGATACTAGAAACAGTTAGTACATTTAGGTTGACCATTCGTGGTAAATTAGATCTCCACCAATACTTCTGTCTCTCTTCTCTAAGTTACAATCCCTTTCTCTTACTTTGGCATATACTACATAGCTTATTCTCATTAAACAGAATCACACTTTTTTAAGCACAGCCTGAATTAAACCCTTGCTTTGAGTTGTCCCGAAGTACGTTTATCAGGCATAAATTTAGAGAGCCAATTTGAGGACAATGCAGATGTTATAGTATTACTACTGGATCAACTCGTTATGAAAACATTTATTTCAGACTGTACTGCCAATACATTTCAACGAACAGTAAAGACATAGTGAAGCACTAGGCACACGCTTCCTTCTCACACACCCAAGCTCTTCAGACAAGAGCACTTGTCCTACTTGTACCTATTGCAAAAATTCCAACTTTTATCTTACAAAAAGGAAAACTGCCAATTTTACATTTTCCATCTCTTTCATATGATAACAAAGAATGAACTAAAAAAAAAAACCCAGTTTTTGTTATTTGGCTAAGGATGTGAATAAAATTTTTATCTTAGTAGAGAAAAGTTAGAGCTGTTTTTCCCCTCTGAAGATATGCTCCTCCTGCTACTACTGTGATACTTAATATACTTCTGTCTCTTTGGCTCATAGTGCTTTACTACATCATCATGCTAGGCATATCAAAATCTCAAACCAAGTGACATTTAAGCACTTAAGACATGAAAAGTTAGGCATTCATACACCTTTCTACAACCACCTTCAAGAAACTGCTCCGTAGTGCTTTCAACTGTTTCGTACTTGGTCAATAAGTTTGAGGTCTGCTCAAAACAAATATCTTGACATGATTAAGGCCATAATTTCATACTGACACTTCACAGACTAAACATGAGACTAGAAGGAGAAAATTTTGATAATTTAACCGGAGAAGAGGAGGGAAAGGGAAGATAAAATGAAAGCTCGTACAGTTAAATTTGTGTGCGCTGCTCAGTTATCTCTGACAGTGGATGAGGACAGTGATGGCTGTGCAGTGGGATGTAGCACATGTTGAACAGCTTTATTTCACTATCTGAAACAGAACAAATCCCGTGCTAAAAAAATAAATGCTGACATTTGTGGCAAGAGCCAGTCCTAGCTCTTAAACCCCTTTGGAAAAGTGAGCTGTGTGAGTCTATTCTGTCGATGAAAATGAATTCGTTGAAGTACTGTGCTTTTGGACATACGTGCCCACCCGGTGGTAAATAGCCAAGAGAAGATGCAAGTCACACAACCAATGAAAAAACCCAGAAAAACTAACACAGAGGCAACAACGATCAGGGACATTCCCCGCCCCCCCCCCCCACCCCCGAATAACTCATTTAAGCTTCCATTGCCATTAGTTTCTAGATTTACGCTAAAAGAAACACAAGTACTTAAACTTATTGCAGTTATTACATTTCAGTGCACAGTAACAAAGGTCAGTGGCTCAACTAAACTCGCAAACGTTCGGATTGGTGCAATGTCCCTTCTAGGCGGCTGGACACGCCGAGGTGTACCTGAAGTCTCACAACACTGTGTTCACCTCGGCAGCCAAGCAGTGAAAAGGAATGCTGGAACAGTGAAAGTAAGTACGGGAGCGCACAGTTCAGTATTTACTAAGGCCCATTTAAGTGGTCTAGATAGTAAATCACATTAAGACCTAGTAAATCTATAAAAAAATGTAAAAAATTTTAAAAAGTTCTGAGCAGTTTTCCAATGAAACTGTTTGGTTTAAGGCTTGGAACATTTCTGATGTCCAGATACTGCAACAGATTTGCAACTAAGGTCTGTTGTCACCTCTTTGACACATTACCTTGTCCTGCACAAGGTTCAACTAAGCAAGGAAAGCCGTTGCAAACAATCATTTAGAAAATATGCAAAGCAAAAGGATGTCACTGAAAACATGTCCTAGGTTTCAGATTGGCACGTGTTGTCAATTATCAGAAGACAGACACGGAAAATCACAAAAAGTTCTGTAGTAACAACCGTATTATACCTCTTTTTTTTTATACTACTACAGGATAATGAGACTTTATGGAAATTAAACAGGAGAAATCTTTTTTTAAAGCACATTAAATAGAAGATTGCTTTTCCAACAAAAGAACAAGGGACAGAATTATTTGCAATATTGTAGCACAACTGCTTCAATCAGATCACAGTCCTGTACTGCAGCCCTCATACAAGGAAAAGTATAAGAAATATTCCATCTCTTTTGAGTCATTTGAGAGGTATGCACAGGAGACTTGCAGAAACAGAAATAATTAGCCTCATCCATAGATATTCATTTCACAAATAACCCATCACAACAGATTTTTGTTATACACTAAAGTGCACGTTTGTCAAATATGCGAACACCACCTCCTACTAAAAAAGGTATTTTCTAATTATATAGTCAAAAATCACACTTACAACCGCATTTTTAGTGATATTTGGTGACTTCAGCAGTGACAGAGAGCAATTTTGCAATCCCTTTGCAATCCCTTTGTCTGAAACCAGGACACAAGGATAAATAAGATTTTCACTACAAATCTTTTGATCTGTTCTGCACAAAAAGGGAACTGCACCCTTTTCTCTGACAACAAGAATCTTTAAATACAATTGTATGAAAATATAACTTAAATATAAAATAGTCGATAGATTTGAGGAGACTTGGAAAAAAATCTTTGTTCCACCTATTAGTTCCATAGGTACCTGGTAGCAAGTAAACATTTGTACTTAAAAAAATAACGTTAAGTTACAGCTTGTAACCATAAACTATTCTGCTCTAGGAATTATGCTGCAAAAGCCAGTTTTAGTAATAAAACACACTCCTTTAACTTAGTCGATTCTGATGCCTTTTTGGGAACATCTTAAGCTGTATCATCAGTAACCATAAGTGAGAGATTGCTGTATCTGTTTTCTATGATCTTCTCTGAAATGCCAGATACAAATCCCCTTCCCGACTAGTCCTTAACAACGTTGTTTTTCCACACATGATGAAAAGACATTCTTGCATAATTGGTCAGTGTGTCTGTAGTGCAACCCAACTGGAAGTCTTCCAACCATCAGTCGGCATTCTGTTGGTAGACCTTGCTTTTGAGTCAGTTTGTACGAAAAGGGAGATGCAACTGCAACATTAAAACCCACTGACTGAAGTTTTTGCCACGAAACCTGCACACACACAGGTCAGGGAATGTGTCATACAGGCAGACCAAAACGATGCTTCTTTTTCTTAATGGGCTTTAAGTTGGTCAGTCTACGCAGGTCCTCTTCAGCATCTGATTCCTCCATCTCATCATCTGCTGAAATAAGGATCTAAAAAC